AACAATTCTCGTAAAAATTTATTTTTCAATCAAAAGAAATTTTGACTTCAGACAAAAAAAGTCCTTAATATATATTATTGATAAAATCCATTAAAAGCTGTTTTCATAAAATAATGTCTTAGTTTTCTTGCATTTTTGTATTTTAAATTCAGAGCTAAAATTAGGGTTCCTGCGAGTGAAAATTTTACATGAAATTTATGATTTATTATTTGTGACGTCGTCCCCCGGTCGCAGCGCCAACTGTGACGTTCTATCCTGCTCTACCACGGCGCCATTTGTGACGTCCTCAAGCAGCACCACTTGTGACGTCTTCGCCGCGGCGCCAGCTGTTCGCTCTTCGCTGCTCCGTCCGGGTGTCGCTGCTCCAAACGTGACGTCCGCCTGTCGCGTCAGTCGTGTTGTCTCGTCCTGTGACGACCAACTGGCTTGGTATCGGTCGCGGCACCCAAATGTGGCGTTCTAACCTTTTGGTGATTCGGGTGGGAATCTGGTTAGATTTGATATCAGCCTCGTCGCTCCCAACTCGCTTCCAACGCCTGGTTACCAAGGTAACTGCATTGATCTCCAGTCTGCCTACCCACGTTGTGAATTGATTTTAGACAGACGAGATCAAACAGTTGTTGGGGCCGTAATGCAAATTGAGTTCAACGGGGGTGATAACACACAAATATGCATAAAAGAAAATAAAATGAAAACTCAAAAAGTTCAAAGTATCAAAGAAAAAGGTAACAAACTTTATGTCTAGTTGTTCGATAGATAGGACTGCATCTCTCTCCCGACCCGTTCTGTGGATTGTGACACGTCGTTTTCGCTAGGCAAGTTTTAACGCTTCAAGTTGTTTGCTCTCTAAGAAATTTGTGTTTCGGTGTGTCTTTGGACGAAAGTCGAAAAAAACTTATTTCGGTGGTCTGGTCCTAAGTCGCTCTTCAAAATAATTGTTCTTGGTTGAAGAGGAGTCCGGAATTTTGCGTGAATCTTGGTCAGCTATCTCGAGGCGGCTTCAACTCTGGAAACTGGACACTCATCTCTGCCACCAGGGCCCGAACTTTCTGGACACTCATCTCTGCCGCCAGGGCCCGAACTGATTTCTGCCTGTTGGGGCCTGGCTTTTATTGACGCCGACCAAAACCGGGGTGGGTCTGTTGGCGTCCGGGAGGTTCCTCGATAATTCTAAATACATATCCACCTCTTTTATTTCTGGTTAGGGATTTTTCACTCTTTTCCATTTTTGGTAACTTTTTTTCACTCCCACTTTCTCACCATACTTCTGAGGGGCGTGAACTGCCCTCCCCACTTCTTCGTAGCAGCTTCTCATACTTACACTCTGGATGGTTGCGTCGACAGCCTTCTTCGTGCGTCACGTGATCACTCTCGGCCAATGAGGTCTTGGTCGGGTATCTTTCCTCCTCCTTCGTGCGTCACATGATCACCACTTGACCAATGATGTCTTAGTCGGGCGTGAACAATCTGCGGCTTTGTTTCAGAAAAAAAAAAATACCTTGCTTAACTAAAAAAAATTAATTATCTCTTCTCTTTCCTTTTTCTTCCTTTCAAAATCGCCGTTATCACTTCTCTAGCCACGAATGGATAATATGTCAACTCTTTGTTCAACACGTGGCGTTTGTCAGGTAGCTTATCGCTAATTCATCAAGATGGTTGGTTTTCCTGACATGGCCTCAGAAAAGAATTATCCCCAAAAATTTCAGTCAGTCTGTCGTCTCCAAGAAAGAAAGAAAAACATTTCTGGTTCTCATTTATTTTCCTTCGGTACATGTGTCTGATAACATAATTTTATTATCGCCGGGCAAAGTTGTTTTGTTGAAAGGAATTCGGTCAGCGCTCTGCTTGTGTTGGATTTAATTTTTCATATCTGTCCAAAGTCCTTTTTAGTGGCCTGTTTCTCGTTACTTATCGAAATAGCATTTTCACTTGAATTTTTCCTGGGCCGGTGGTCCAGCCATTCGTTTACGTACCTAGATAACATAGCCATTATCAAAACACATCTGGTTCCTTCTTTCTTTTCCTTTTCCTTTTTTTTTTACTCAGAAATTCCCTGTCATTCTAATGACACACTTTTTCACTTGTTACTTATCAATATTTTCATTGTCTCTTAGGCCATGTGTGTGGCTGTTTTATCACCTATGATCCGTCTCGCATTTCTTTCTGCCTTCTTTTCTTTCTCTTTCTTTCTCTACCTCGTAAATGGTGCCACTATTCCTCAAAGTCTTCTTTATTTAATTAAAAAATAAAAAGAGAGGCAACTATACTAGTTTTAAAGTATTCATAAAATTAAGTAAGTGGGGTATCAGACGTAAAAAAAAAATATTTTACCATGACTTTCTAAAAGACTAACATTTCTAAAATAAATTCATTCATTTTGGAATAATTTCTGAAAGTTTCATTAAATTCTGACAATTATTTGATTTTTGCAAGAATTTTCAAATTAATGTGTTTTGCAAGTGAAAAAGGCTGTAAAGGTAATGCTAAATATTAGGTGACCTTTGACCTAAAAAAAAACAAGATTTTCAACCACAAATTCAAACATGCTAAAAAGGAATAAAAAATTTCAAAGGATAATTAAAAAATACTTTGGTCTCTCCTCTTATTAATAACATAAAGTGTTTCGCAATAAAACATTTATTTTTATTAAGTTTGGTGCCTTTTTTCATCAGGATATGCCACTTTTTTTTGCTAAAATTGTGGCATATCCTGATGGAAAAAGTGGAAAATTCACTTGCAATTTTTTTAGTGCTATTTTGAAATTCAACCTGTCATCATACATAATAAGATTTTTTTTATCATTAAATAAAGAAAAGACATTTGGAAGTTTTGAAAAATACAGAATTTAAAATAAGTACCTCCACTGTATTTTTGAAAAACTGGAGGTACCTAATTTAAAATGCCATTTTCGAGCTTTAATATTTTTTTTTTTAAATTTTGTTTTTCATTTTTACAATTGTAACATTATTTTTTTACAGAAGTTCTAAAACGAAATAATAATATTAAATAAGGATAACAGCTGAGATGTAGCAATTCAAGGGAAGACAGAACTAAAAACAAAAACAAAAATAATGACCCTTTTCAGGGCTAACTAAATTTCTTGAATTATCATGCCTTGAACTCATGGTATGATAGCACACTTTTTCTATTTAAAATTTTTTTTAATAGGATTATAATAATTTTCAGTGATTTTCTAAGCATAGCTTAGAAGTGACATAAGGCCAAAAGTGTGGGTTATTCAGAGTGAGGATCGAACTCACTGTTCTCTTGTAATTGATTTAGTTTGAAAAGCTTGCTAACCATTACACCATATCAGCATGCCCACATTTTAAAAATGCTATGGACAAAGTAAAAATAAAACCCTCATTTGAATAGCATTGAATTAAAGGAAGTTGAGTCTGACCTGAAAATTCTATTTTTACAAAATTTTCTAATAAAATAATCTTGTAAATATAAATTTCATTGATCAATGAATAAGTGATCAAAAACTTAATTGGAATAACTATCCCCCAATTATTTTTAATTTAAAAAAATCTGTCAGTAGCATTTGCAGTGTTTTTAAAAAAACATTTCCCTGATGTTTGGAGGTGACCATAATTTTTATTCTAAAAGAAGTCAAAGTTAAAAAAAAAAAAAGCAATTTAACACTACCAATTCAATAACTCATTATTAATTTCCCCCATATTTTGGTAACAATTTCCTTAGTTTAATCAATTGTCTTAAAATCAGAACATTTGGGATGAAACTAAATATTTTATGACAGCAAGTAGGTAAGAAAACACTCCATAAATAAAACAATGAATTAAACTGAAAAGTATCATTTAAAAATTTTTAATAATTTCATTTTATATTTCTAATGCAGTATAAAAACATAAAATGATTCATTCTACTAAGTTTCATAAAAGTGTATAGAATTGAAATCCTATTCTTAAACTATTGGTTATATAATGTCTAAAATAATTTTGAAACATAAACAGTACCAAATTCTTGATTGTTGTGGGGTTTGAAGTTCATATTTTTAAAAATTTTGTACACTTTTTAAAGTTCAGTGATGACAGTAAAAGATTACTGTCATTGGCCTATGACCTTGATGACAGAACACAGGCTACTATATATAATCATTATTTTTGCTATGTTTTAAACTAAAAGTATTACTTTTGTAAAATCCAGCTAATTAATCCTCAAATTTACTGATTTACTTCAAACAAATCTTGGATTTTTAAGAGATTCTAAATTTGTTGATTTCAGTTTTCATCTATTGTAGAGGTTTAATGAGGGATGAGTGAATGTTTCAATATTTTATAAACATCTAAAAACTTTACACTCCTCCCTGATCTTTTGGACAGAATTAGAGGTTTATCCCTTGTTTCCTGTTTAGGATCAAGATTACAATTCCTTCTAAAGTCTTCTTATTTCTTTCACTCCCATTAACCCCTTGCATTTTAGTGACATTATTGCCTTGCTTGAAGTGAACATTAAAAAAATGCTTACTTCCCATTTAGATTCTAGTTTGTGTCCTTGAAAATTGCTACAGCGTTTTGAGTTCAAGGTATGTTCTTTAAGTCAGGGAACCTGCCAGCCCACCCGAGGTCCCACCTTAATGACAGGCCTGGTATTAGACCAGAAATGCTCTTGAATTTGCACCATCCAAAAAAGTGGTCACCAATAATTTATTTTCTCTCTTGAGTTTAATGTAAAAAAAAAGTATACAAAACTCATGACCAAAGCAGAATTTAAAAAATAAAGTACTTGGCTGGTAAATTAAGAAGTAATTTAATCTCTTGTTAATAAGATTTATTCAATGTATTTTATTCTTTAAGTACATTTCATAAAATGCAGTGACTGAACAAAATGAAAGAAGGAAAAAAGAAAGAAAATGTACACGCCTCCTTCTTCAAGGGAGATAACTCCCAATACCAATTGACCGGTGCATTTTGCCGGCGCCACACTTAATCGAAAACGAGGCTGCTTTTCTTAAACTATTATCGCGGGAATGCAAAATGGCGGGTAAGTATTCTCTTCTGACAAATGTTATTCATTTCAAACTCAATCATTTTATGTCTTTATATTTTAAATTGTTACTATGTTAGACTAGCAATTTCGTGTGTATTTGCGAGTATCAATTGCTCTTCTTTTCATGTCGGTCTTTTATCGCTGTCCGTTTTTTACCGACTGCTTGTCTGACTGCGTTTCATTGTTAGCCAGCCGATTTTATCAAAGCAAACCTTAATTTGCGTTTTTATTTTTCATCTACAAAAAATAAAATTTTATGATTTCATTTGATCTAGATTTATTTCGGGCGATTTTATTCTTAAAACATGGTTGTTGATCTTTAGTAACATCCTAAAAAAAGTTTGTATTTTATAACCTCCTTATTGATTTTGTTCATAATCGCACATACGTAAAAATGGCTGTTGTTTTTTTTTTTTAATTTTTTTTTAAACAATGTCGTAATAAATTTTCTTTTAATCACTAATTGGTAATTATTTGTTGGTGAAGTGAACTTAATCATTATTCAAAGATCTTTGTTAGTTAATTTTCAGTTATTTTTCTTTTCGATTTCGATGTGTTTCCAAGAAACAATGTGATTTTGTAGCCTTTGTTCACCATATGCTTGAAAAACTAACGCTTAAAAAAAAAAAACTAAAACAATATTTTCTTATTTCTTACAAGATTTTGCATCTTATTTTTAGTATTTTCTTCCCTTGTAACTATAGTATTTTAGATTGAAAAAGTTTCTTTTTTAATTTAAATATAAAAACAGCTGAATGCAATTGAGTTTTAACAGTTAAACAATTTGTTATTGATCTTTAAATATATAAAAGAGGTAATGCTATTGTCAAAATCGTATATAAAGTTTATTTTTTATATTAATTTATCCGTTTAAGCAGTAATTGGAAATTAGATTTTATTTTAGTCATTGATAATCGTACGTATCCATTTTTTTTTCTTCTGAAAAGTTGAAACGATTGTCAAGTTAAACTTTTATCTGAAAATGTCAACGATTAAAAACTGAAATCTCGAATAAAAATATCTCCTTAAAAATTTACCATAATTACTAAAACTTTCCACTTGATGTTTCTTATTTAAAAAAAAATAAATAAATTCATAAAAAGATATTTTAAACGAACGCTAATTCTGAGTTAACGGATTTTAAGTTTTTACCTTTTTGCTTTAGTTTAAATAAAATTAATCTATGTTTCTTTTGTGTTTTTTTAGTTAAATACCTAAAAACAAATATAAGAATTTATTTTAAATGAATAAGTGTTTATTGCGTTGATTCATAAATACTGAAAACAACAAAAAAAATTATCTGTAGAAATAGCATACAAAAATAAAAACTGTATTATGCACAGTATTTTTGTTGGCAAATTTTATAAATTTCAGTTCCGTCGAAAGATTAGCTGCTTTATAAATTTACTTTTCAAAAATCAGTTTCAACGATTCTTTTAAAAAATATTTGAAGTTTGTGCGTGCATAAAAAAACTGTGTCGTTTTATCAAGATGGCTATGATGATGAATAAGATTTTTGTAAACAGTTCAAGATATTTCAAATGCTTTGTGAATATGATTCTTATCTAATACTGGATATTAATAATGACCCATCAATAAATAAATTATTAGGTTATTTTTCAAGAGTATTACAAAATTGTTGATTTTTTTTTTATTACTATTCAATTGTCTTTAATTACTACAAGGTTTACTGTAGCTGGGTACATCGGTTGTTTGTTAAACTGTTCCTCATCATTTTTTTTCTCCGATGTCTCTCCCTTTGATTGTCAATTACTTTTATTATATTATTGTTAATCAACTTTCAATTTTAATTTTGTCATAACAATATTGATTATTATTTTTTTACATAAAATTACATTTTAATGGCTTTTGCCTTATTAAAACTGAAAAAAAAGTTTAATCCCGAGTTATCACCCTTTGCTAGACTTTTTTTTTTTTTGCTTTTATTTTCAGGAAACAAATGTTTTGATTTTTTTTTTTTTTGTTTATATTTCTCCCTTTTTTTTGTATATGTCATCATTATTGTTCATTAATGAATTTTTGTTCTATTATATTGTAAAGACGGTGATACCAAAACCAATATTGCCCACATTTTAAATATCTTTACTGTTAATACTCCTCATTGAGGTGATTGTTGTTTATTTTATATGCCTTTGTACCAAAAAAAAAACAATTTAAAACCAGATCGTGAGTATCATTGATTTTGACGTCCGAATCAATTTCCGCGTTTCAAATACTAGATTACCTCCCTTAGATTTCATTATTTAGCTTCATATTCTGATCTTTTTTTCTTTTTTTTAAATAAGAAATTAAATTTAATAATTTAATAATAAAACTTAAAATTTGTAAAATAAAAAGCACAGGCCATGGGTTTGTTTGGATTTGAAAGAGTTTACATTAACACCTGAAATGTAACTTATTTTATTTCATCTGCAATCCCTGTGAAAAAGAATATATATTTGAATTTTTATGGAGTATTTCAGGTTAATAAACTGACAGAAGCAGAGATGAATTTCCTTAAGGCTTCTGGGACCATTTCCTTCCACGTGTATAGGAATAATTTTTCACTAATATCACTTTATTTCGTACCTTTTAAAGGTTTTAAAATGTGATCAGAATATGAGGTGAGGTTTAAAAAAAAATTTAAGGGAAATAATTCAGTATTTGGAATCTTGGATTTAGGCGTAATTAACAACCCAGATTGTATTTAATTTAAAAATATACTGTCTCCATTAAAATTAACTCTTGTTAGATGAAAATTGAGGAATTATTTTATTTTTAAGCAAAAGTAATTGACTACTTGGTTATATGTAAATTTTGTGTTAATATTTTTTTTTTAATCAATATTTCCTTTCATCATCAATGAACAGCATAGTTAAACAATATTGGGAAATTTTAATTCTAAATTTTGTATTAATCATTAAGCAGTTTGCAAAGAAAAGTCCAATTTTAACAAACTTGAATTTAAATTTCATTGTGATTTATATATTTTTATTTCTTTCTAGAAAATTTTAGATTTACTGGTCTCTATACTCAAAATGGTAAGAATCCTTATTGAAAAATTACTATAAATTGCTTGTATAAAATAAAGTAACTTTGCCTTAAATGCATTTTTTCTCCTAAAGCTTTTAAAGTTTCTTTCATTATCAATTAAAGTTTTGGCCTGAAGAATGGGATTTGTCTTTCAGATTCTGCAGACCTGCATGTCTTCCTTCAAAGTGACATGAATTTTTCCTAAACAAAAAAAAAAAAATTCCTCTTTCTTTTACTCTCTTAAGTTCTTTCCACATTGCAAAACCTTTTGCACCCATAGATTCCCCTCCTACCCAACACAATTTGTTTTCCTTTCTTCTTTATGCACTCTCTCCCTCTCTTTCATAAATCAAGGAATGTGTATAACCTGTTAACATGGAAAATGCCTACAAAATTTGGTCCAGTTATTGATCCTGAGCACTACTGGATTACAAATTAAGTGGAAAGGATGGGGGTGGTTAGTGGAATGGTTATTGACATGAAAAGTCAAATCAGCAAGTCACATTCCAATCCCAAACTATTCTGTTGCATTCACTTCTGCACTAATGCTCTTGAGGAAGGCATGAATCCATCTTTTCTCCCTCCAGCTTTTGGTTAAATAGCAGAGTATATTGGGCTCTGTGCCTCTGTAAGGATCCATCTAAGAGGAAAATTCTGAATTCAAAACCATAGAGAAGGCAATGGTAAACCATTCTATTATCCTTCTCAAGCAGTTACAGCAATTTGTAGATAAGGTAAAGGAATCTACTTTCTGAAGGGACACAGCATTATTTTTTTTCTAAGTAAAACATAAAATTACTTTATAAGTTCCAATTATCAGCAACATTTTTTTTTTTTTTTTTTTTTTTTTTTAAGCTAACTCCGAAACATTCAGATAACATGAAACTAGTGCATATTATAGTTATCTTTGTGATAAATTCAGAAAGCAAATTTGCATATGTAACAGGACCCCACTTTGTGAGTGGTTCTGATTCTCCATTAATGGATCCTCATTGCTAGTTTAGCAACGAAAATCCAATTAGTAATCAGTAAAAACAACTGTCAACAGTAGTTGTGTTATTTCCGTGTCCAAACTTTTTCAATGTTAGATTTTTTTATCATTATTATTATTTTTTACATTATTTGAAAAGTTGTATAAAAGAAGTGATTATACAGAAAAACTAAATTATTTTAACTACTTTTTCTATTAACTTTATATTTTTATTTTCAAATATGTGACAATTTCATGTATCCATAATTTATCAATATTTAATATTTTTGCTATGTAAGAATACAGTTCCAAACCGGGATGCTTTCTCTTTCGCCAATTTTCATCATTAAAGAAAGATCTACAGTGTAGATTTTAGTCTGTCAACTTGTTGACAGCCATCAGGAATCAACAATGAAGTTGGTTACTTTTAGTTTGCATTTCAAGAATGTTTTGCTGCCAGTGTTTGAGATCTCTTTTGATCCTATACGTTTATTCAGAGGCATGACAAGTATGTTGCAAAGGTTATTTATTCCAAAACTTGTCTTCTTTTAACTAAATGGCTATCTTTCTTTCTTTTTCTGCTTCTCTTTATAGGAATATGCTTAAGAATTTATCATGTATTATATGGCTAGATACAAAGGGACATTGACTCTTTCAGATTTCAAAGTTGCTTGATTTTGTTTATTTATTTATTTTTAATGGAGAGGTGCTGAAAAGCTCTCAGCCTGACTAATGAGGGATTCCAATATAAGAAGGGGGGTGGAATTCTGATGTTTGCTCAGATTTTTTTTAAATGAATGTTGGGTTGAGAACGTTTTTAGCACTCCTTCATAGAAGTCAATAAGATTTTGTTGCAAAACTGACTGTTTGTTAATCTGTCTGACACTTTTATAGAAAAAAATCTTATATGAAAACATTGAAAAACAGGTTCATTTAGGGATAAAAATACAAGTTTCTTTTTTTTTATTATTATTTGTCTATTTTTTTAATAAACAAGAAAAAAAGATATTTACAATCATTTAGATATAAATGCTAAAACTTTCTACTTGGTTACAGTTTTTATATTTATATAAATTTTCACACTTCTTTTTCAGGTGTTACTTCTGGATTGATGAAAAATAAGCTTGAAGCTTATAAATGCTGTGCAAATGATGTTATCAACTTCAAGCTAGGTGAGCATCACCTGTACATATACAGAATCTAATAATTGCTGATTTTATTTATTTTTTCATGGGTTTTGATTGTAAATTTTCAGTGTTAAATTTTTTGATCTTTTTCAAAAGTGACTTACAGCATTTACAATACTAATTTATATACGTGTGTATGTGTGTGTATATATCCTCCAATAATTCACCTGTTAAACAGGTCTACATTAGATGTCCTATCTTGAAGGTTAACTCCACAGATGGCACACACAGCTTTTATGGAAAACATCTAGCTGGCGTATATAGTACCTGTATGGAGTCTACAGCTCTGAGCCGTATAAAAGGATAGCAAGGACAACAGCTCTGTAAACCCAAATTTTTGTATCCAGTCGAATACCCTGCTCATTCCACAAGCGATAACGAAGTTTGCCGAAAGTACTGGTAGCCTTAGCAATCCGATGCATGATTTCATCATCTAAAGTTTCACTGTAGTTGACTTTGCTACCAAGATAGGTGAAAGACTTTATATAGTTCAGGGCTTTGTCTTCTATTTTTAATGGTCTCTCTGGAAATTTGAAGACTGGTAATTTTTGTTTCTCATCACAGAATTGCTTCGGAATAGGACAAGGTTGGTGCACTACTTCACTTTTCTTTATGCTAAGTGTGAGACCAAAGGCTTTACATGCAGCAGAAAAACGATTTATTAGATGTATATATATGAGAGAAATCAATATTCAAATATTACTGCCTTTCCATGACTTGGTTTTATGTGGAGACCTATATATTTATGTGACTGTCTCACAATCTTCAGGCTGTAGGTATATGGAATTTATATAGAGATGTTGAGTGTGTCTGCTACTGATTCAGTGTTTATTCATCTGTCCTTTTCAATCATATCATGAACAACATCAATGTTTTCCTCACAAACTGACGTTGATGGCCTGCCCTGTGGGGTTCATCTTCAATTTTGTTTCTTTAACTTCTAAACCGACTTATCCATTTGTAGGTTGTTGATTTCTTTGGGGCATTGTCACCATAAACTTGTTCCAGAGTGTCAATAATTTGCCTATTCACCCAACCGAGTTTCAATGTTTGTCCTGGTCTTGATTTTGGTGGATTCCATGTTGCTTGAATGATGCCTGACTTCCAACTGGCAGCGATGCGTTATTACCTGCAATAAAGGGTTCATGTCTGAACACGTTATAACAAGAATGTTCAGGTGCATTGAAATCAAAATCCTTCCATATGTTTTTTAGCATTTTGAAGCACCCTCGTGTGTGTATATAAGATTTAAAAAAAAAGGAAAAAGAAATTGAAAATACAACTCGAATGTTTAAGAATATTTATTTAGAGTAACTTTACTGGTTTTACAGTTCATGATTTTCAAAGGCTTTGCCATGATGTCTTGCATCAGCTGTGAGATATCCTGGCCAAGTCACACATCTTTCCATCTCAATTTAACTTGAAAATCCTGTAACTGTGAAACTGCCAAAGTTACTCTAAATGAACTAAATGAATATTCTTAAACACTCCAGTTGCATTTTCAACTTAGAAAGCTTCTATTCTGACATGTCTTGCCAACAAAAATTCTTTTTTTTTTTTTTTTTCCTTTTTTTTTTTTTTTTGTGATACCAGTTTATCAGTAAAACCTGTCAAAATAAATGTTTTACAAATTGTCTTATATATATATAAATTACAGATAAAAAGTAAAACTGTACTTCACCACTTACTGCTCCTATAGTTTCATAAGAAGCTACTAGTAATCAGTCATACTAAAGCTATTATTTTTCTTTCTTCTTATTTGCAATGTTAGTACTGCTCTGCTTTTTAGCATTTTTTAGCATTGAGCAATTGAATTTATTGCTGCCTTTCTTCTTTCTTTCTTTTTTTGCTAGAGTTTTTAAACACATTTCGTATGTCTTTTATTTAATTTTATGAAATTTTGGGATACTAAATATATTTATTTCCATAACTCCCTGAAGAAATTGGTTGAAATTTTAATAGTTCATGGATTTTTTGATATTTTTTCTCCTTTATTTTCCTTGGGCACTTTTGAAATATTTCTATTAACCTTGAAACAAACCTGCCTACCAAATGAGTAGAAAATTCACTTTTTTAACCAATCTGCAGTGAATCAAACATCAAGTGATAATACCTGCCATTTAAGGATTAAATAAAGTTTTAAGAATTGAGAAATGTAAATTTTAGGAAAATACAAAGAACTAAAAAAAAAATTTTTTTTTTCTTTTTACAAAGTACAGAAATTATATAATAGCATGTATGGAAGATCTTACTTATAAAATGCAGATTGTGTGTGTGTGTGTGTGTGTGTGTGTGTAACATTTATATATTGGGTCGGATTTCCTACATTTTTCAACCGATTTCAACAAAACTTCACAGGACTACATAAAATTACCTTGTGGTGGTTCTAACAGTGCCAAAAATGTGAAAAATATAATTGTTTTTGCACAAAATCAATTTGAAAACACGATTAAGAGACATCGTGAAAATGGAAGGAGGACAACTCACATCGGGTTGTTTGTGTGTGTGGGTTCCCTTAAATATGGGATCGGATTTCCTATATTTTTCAGCCGATAAAACAAAACTTCACTTTTTTTTTTTTTTTTTTTTAATTTTTTTTTGGCAGGTAGTGTTTCTTATTCTCTTACACACTTTTTTCTTTATTTTTAATATTCACAATCCTTTAAAAATTCCATTTACAAGACAATTATTTATAATAAAATTCTATTCTATCGGGAGACTCATAACGATTGAAAACAATGTTTGAGTTTGGGTTTGACCAATTCGTAAAAAAAAAAAAAACTAATTAAGACATGCGTGTCCGTCAACCTTAAACAATAATCTAACAATCTCTACTGATTGTACGAATACAAACATCGGATAAATTCTTTAGGGAAAGATAATGAAATCTAAACATACACAAGTCCTAACTAAAAATAATAACCGGAACGGGAAACTACTTTAAATACACATGGTGTCCAATTTTTTTTACTGTATTCAATAAGTAAAAATCATAAATTGTAAAAGATTATTATTACAGAAAGGCTACTAAATGAATAAGATTTGTTAGATCATAACTAATAAACCCAAATAAAGTTAATATTTTTTGTATTAGAAACAACGAGTGGAAAATATATTCAAATCAGATGAATCACCACAAGCAAAATATGCATTTTTTTTTTTTACTGTATTCAATAAGTAAAAATCATAAATTGTAAAACTAAAAGATTACAGAAAGGCTACCTACATTTTTCAACCGATTTCAACAAAACTTTTTTTTTTTTTTTTTTTTTTTTTTTTTGGCATGTAGTGTTTCTTATTGCACACTTTTTTTCTTTATTTTTACATTCAGAATGCTTTAAAAATTCCATTTACAAGACAATTGTTTATAATAAAATTCTATTCAATCGGTAGAGACTCATAACGATTGAAAACAATTCGTAAAAAAAAAAAAAACTAATTCAGATATGCGTGTCCGTCAACCTTAAACAATAATCTTTGTCAATTTTATTTTTCAGTCTTTATGATGGTGGATACTTGATCTATCTCTTACTGTTGTATCCCTGGGCAACGCCGGGCTCTACTGCTAGTCATTAATAAAATTGTAGGTGCAGTTTGCTCTTGGCAATTTTAACATATTTTGGTCATCCATACTTCAAATTTTCCTATGAGACACTCCTAAATCTAAGCGACCTTGCATCAGTCATGGCATAATTTAAATAGTTTTGGATGTCATATCGAATAAAACAAAAACCTGCTTTGAGTACACTTTATCCCCCCACCCCACCCCAACGTTTGATAGTCTTCTGGCATTTAAAGCAAAAATTTACATTTAAAAAAAATATTTATGAAATAAGCTTTTTTTCTTTTTATGTGCATGTGTGTCGTCCTGATAATAGTTTGTGAGGGGAAAAACTGTTGAGCAAAAAACACACAAATTAGGTCTCTTCAAATGTGAAGAAGCTTTCTGGTCTGTTTCAAAAGAAACTCGACAGATTTATCTTTTTGATTTGTTTAATGCCAATAGTGGAATAGATCTGAAGATTTAAGACCATTTTTCCACATATTAAGGATAGTAGTTGAAATAGGTAAAAACTTAGGGGTGGGGTTCCAAGATTTTGGAGTCAGTTTTGGTTGCTAAATTGAATCTTTTATTCGTCTTTTTTTTCTTTTTCTTTTTTTCCTCCCCCTCCCCTCCCCCAATCATATGTTATCAGGGGGAGAGATATTTTGGCTTTGAGAATCTAAAAACTTTACAAGGGAAGATTTCAAATGTAAAATGATATTGTTTCTGTTCTTGTCAGTAGAACATTAATTTCTATTATGATAACTACAAATGCTCATCCCAACAAGCAAGAATCTGCGTGATACTTATTCAAATCTATTTATATCTACATGTGTTGACCTTGTCGATGATTGTAAAAAATTCGACGGCAAAATATGAAGTAATTAGAAAAGCAACTGTGATGTTTCCGTTGATATTTGGCACAGCATTGAAAATAATTAGGACAGGGGAAGTAACTCTGCAATTTTACAAAGTCAGTGAATTTGTAAATGATTTTACAAATGTTAACGTATTTTTTTCTGGTGATTTTTATAGAATGATTTTTTTTTTTTTATATGGTACGTCACTGCAGTTTTTGTTATGGTCAGTTTTACTGCCATTCCAATACTTGAACAATTTTCATTTTAATAAACTTTTTAAATATATTTTCAGCATGTTTGCATTAGGCTTTTATAATTTCTGATGATTGAGCTTTTATTTTCTTTCTCTGTTTTAGTTCGAGAAGAAAAAGACTTAGAAAATGAAGATACAACTTTTCGACCAGACATGACGCATCAACTTTTTGGAGACCAGTACGTACCATTTGTTTCAATTACAAAGTTATTCTATTTTCTGCAATTGTGACTTAGAAAAACCACTAATAGAATTCCAAGTGTATTTTTCTCTACAGATTTATTGTATGAAGTATTGAGTTTAATGTTTATCCGACCAATGACTAAACAAAACAGTCAAATAAATCCTGGGCTGCAATGAGTATTTAGTCTATTTGTCTTGATTTATCTGACAAAATGTTGGCATTACTTTTTCCATTTTTCTTCAGGGAAAGCATTTTTGGCTACAGAGATTTGAGTTTAGATGTGTTTTACACAGCTGGTACCCTCATCACATATCTCAAAATCAAATACATGGACAAAGTGACCCCTCAAAAATTTGAAGGGATTTGTGTGAGTACTTGTGTTCGTTCCTCTGGAATGTTTCCTAACTAAATTTCTGTTGTTTCAAATTCTGAAAATAATCCTGGATTTAAAGACCTATGTTGTTATGATTTAATTTTTCAAAGTAGATGAAAATTTGAGATAATAGATGAAATTGTAAATTTTCTTATATTTATTAGGTTGAGTCATAAATAATTTTCATTTTTGTTTATCAACTTTATAATAAGTACAATTACATTTTCAGTAATATATTCCTTATTTGCATTGACTTTTTTGCCAATCATCAGTTTATGCCTTCAATAACTATTGAATAAAATAGAGAAAAAAACAAAAACACAGTGGATTAAAAGTAGAATCTTTTTTTGTTTTCCATGATAATGCAAGGCCACATATAATAAAAATAACAGCAGGGAAAAAATTTGGGATGCATGTTTAGAGCAAAATGATTTCTAATGAAAAGGTTATCCCCATCAAAGTGTTTTTGTAGCTATTAAAAATGTAATAATCAATTGGTGTAAAGTTAGATGAATATTTCTTCTTTCTTTTTCTTTTCTCTCTCTCTCTCTGTCTTCTTTTTTTTCCTCTTTTTTTTTTCTTTTCTCTTCTTTCCTTTTTTCTTTTCTCTTCTTTCCTTTTTTCTTTTCTCTTCTTTCCTTTTTTCTTCTCTCTTTCTTTTTCTTTCCTTTCCTTTTTTCTCTTCTCTTCTTTCCTTTTTTCTCTTCTCTTCTTTCCTTTTTTCTCTTTTTAACAAAAAGGAATAGGGGTAGAGTTTTCATCAAACTATCTTGCCCCTAAACATTCATTAATCTTACACTACATATTATTTTTTCACTGACCCAAGAATTGATTATGAAATTTAAAACTAAAATACTTTGTACCTCATATTAAATCATCTATAATAAAGCAAGGGTTAGCAAACCAATCTTACAAATCTTCTTTTTGGTGGCCAGACTAAAGTTTAGTAAATAGTTCCAATATATAATGGGCCTCAAAAATTTATAAAAGATGTTGTTTTTTTATATTTTTTTTCATTACTGTTAAGTTAGTTGTGCAAGTGTTAATTTTTTTATTTTTTTATTTTTTTTTTTTTTCTGTTTTGTTAGGCTGACGATGTGGAAAAGCCAATTGCCAAGATGATGCCTCCTGGCTATCTCACTAACATTGATGAATTTGTCAATGCCCTTTCCAAAGAAGACACATTCAGGCCTCCTGGTGAAATGCTGCATTCATACAAAACTGAAAACAGTAAACCATTTCCTACAATCTTCTAACTATTATTGCACATATACACTAGACTGATGATTCTCAGTGTTTCTTTTTTTGCCCATGCATCCTTTTCACTATATTTGACAATGTTACCTCCACCCTCTACACATCCATATCCAAGATCATGTGACTCAGAAGGTGGGTTTGTAGAAAGATAAATATTGCAGCAGGTTATCTACCAATATGTGGTCCCAATTCCCTCCTACTGAAAACCTTTTAAAAATAAAAACACTTTCCAGTAAAGGTGGCTTTTCTCTGTGGTTGAGAAATTCTACTCAGGATTATTAGCATAGCAGAACATTCTGACTCTTGAAAAATCTTATTTAAATGCTAATTCATGTCCTGCAATGAGAGTGAGCAAATTTATTTTAAATACCGCCTGTCATTCTCTGTCTTTACAAGAGTCAAATCAAAAAAAAAAAAACAAAAATGGAGTATCACAGCTATTCTTGGACTGAAGCTGTCCCATCCATACTTTACAACTATGACGGAGCTCAAAAGCATCTATATGGCCTTATGGGTGATTATTTATTCTCCACAATGTGGACCCTTACCCACAAACAAAATGTTTTAAGGCTCTCACTACTCTATCGCTATTTCCATAAAAAAATGTTCTGACAAGTTACATTCCTTCGTTCCACTAGATCAGAATTTTACAGCTAAGACTCACCATGTCACATCTATACTGTGATGAATCCTCCTCATTCCCGTCGTATTCCATTGATAAGTTCTATTTTAACAACTTTTTCCCAAGAATCGCTACTTTGTGGAACACCCTCCCAAAAGGATGCTTTCCCAATCACGACATTCTTCACCTCTTGGGTCAATCACTGTCTGTCCTACATATCCTCATAATGTGTACTTTTTAAGTCCATACAACTCATTCAATTAGCCTCTTCTGTCTCCAGTGGCACTTGGGCCTTGTATTAAACTAGTTTTTCTTTTTTTAACTACTGTAGTTAAAAAAGAAAAAGTAGTTTAATGCAAATGTCTTAACCTATTACCAAATTTAATATAAACTTAAGATGCCAACATTGTTTTTCTTGTTTCATGTGTAAAATAATATTCATTTTACATCATTTCCTGCTTTTCAATTTTATTCAAATGCATCAAATCCACTGTCATATTCCCAGAGACATTTGACAATCCTTGTCAGTTGATTATTGCTTTGCAGAGGAAATTAATTCAGTTTTAAACATTTTTTTAGCCATGTGGTCATGTGTTAGATGTGCATTTTCAAAAGAAAGTGTGATGTGGTGAAAAACCTTGAGACTAGAACATACTCAGTTACTAAACTGTATCCTGTTAGGTTAGATGCCTGCCATCTTTGTTCAAGTGATGTCTACTTGGACTGACTTTGCTTGCTGACCATAAAACTCTCAGTTCCAGATGATTTCACAAATTTTGGTTTCCTGTTGAAAATTCACTTCCCAACATTTCAATTCGTTCACAAATTCATTTAAAAAAGGAAAAAAGTTGTTCTTAGTTTGGATTGTTAATACTATTTACTATGTCATTTGATGACCTTTTCTAACTTGTAGGTTATTACTACTGTTATTAATATTTAATGTATGATGGATGTGTGAGTGGAATAATGGGTATTGGCTTGGAATGAGTAATAAGAGCCAAGTTCAAATTCCAGTTGGATTTGTTGCATCCACACAATCTTTGGAAATGTATGAATGCATTTCCTCTCTCCCCCTCTGCCATGGGTTAAATAGTAGAACTTGTATTTCTAAAAATCATTGTTATTCTCAAGAAAATTGTTAATTCAATATTCATTTGCCAAAATCCAAGACTTTCAGCTTTAAATAACCCATAAAGAGTTGATAAGCCATAAAAAAAAAAAAAAAAAAAAAAAAAAAGAAATCAATCTATACATCTAGTGGAATCCGGATGATTCTGACCCTCCCTCCCTTTACCCCATACATCAGTCCCTAACCCATACTGATTTTCCATGTTTGGCTCATTTCTATAATACTGGCCCACTGGTCCAGGTGTAATATTTGTGTCTTGTAAGTATGTTGTATAGGTCATCAAATATGGTAGCTATCAAAACTTATGAGATAAAATGCCCTTATTCTTATCCAGAAGATAAAGGAAATTATTAAATCGTTGTCTTTGATAGCATTTTGTCTCATTGTTCTCAGGAATCAAATATTCTATCCTTCTCCCCCCCTCCTTATTTATTTATTTTTTTACCATTCACAGTTGTACTACACAATAGATTACTAGAAAACTATTGCACTACAAACTTTCTTTTAATGAACTGTCTTATGGGTTTGATTGATTTATTACATTTTCTGTTGTTTTTACAATGCCGAAAAGTAATTTTGTATTTTTCTTGCTCACTCAAAATGGTCGGAATGTCCTGAATTTTGTGCCCATTCATTTTCTTATTAAAGGTTTAGATGAGACTATGTCCCTTGATCATTGGTAATGGTTAAATTAACCGTTCACATATACGAAGCATTTGACCATTCATTGACTGAACAGTTGGCATTACTGTCAGCTGAAATTTATGAGATCTTTTTCTTGAAACAGTTTTTCCAGAAATTAAACTTTTTACTTTCACTAATTGGAACTGATTGCATAACACTCTTAAAATGCTGAATTGAGATATTCTGCTTTGTTCATTTTTTTGTTATTCACCTTTTCCTCAGATACTAAATAACATTTGGAGAAAAAATCAAGTCACTTACTTTAAAGGACAACACATTTTTTTTAACTGTTAAATTGAAAGTCTCAAGCTAAGGATAAACGATTATCAGTCCCAATGTTGTTTCTATATTGTTTTTTGTTTTTGTTTTTTTGCCTATGACCATAGACAAAAAAAAAAGGAAATTTGCTGCAAACACCAGTTTCCATTTGGTCACTGAAGTTAAGCAATGGCAAGCCCAGTCAGTAACTAGATGGGGGACTGCTTGGGAACATCTCTTACAAGAAGTCTCCTACAATCTAAAATATGCTTCAACTTTAAATAACCCAAAATGACAATCAAAAATTCCTCTTTTTATTAAAAACTCTAATGTCAACATTTGATTTTTCTCTTGAGATAGATGCAACTTTTCTGCATTTTATATTCAAAATCATGAGAAGTAGATTTCCCCACTGAATGCTAAAAAGTAAAATTTAAAAATAAACTTTAATTGATTTTGATGATCTTCTCATCTGCACTCTATCAAATGTATTTTGTTTAATATTTTTTAAAAACATGATCATTTGGCAAAAACAAATGATTTTAATAAAATTGGAATTTTCAGACAGACAGGGAGGGACACACACACACACACACACACACACACACACACACAGATAAATTGCAGCTTGACTTTTGTTCAGCCGAAATGTATTGAGTTTGCAATTCTTCAAAGCTGGATTTATTTTTATTTTTTTTTATTTTTTTTTTAGAAAAAGATAATAAAGTGAAGTGGTTTGAAGTATACAAAGCCTCAATTGAAGACACACCAGATTTCAGAAAATACCATGAGAGATTGCAAACATTCATTTTGTTTTTTATTGATGCTGCTTCCTACATTGATGTTGACGATGACCGATGGACTTTCTATTTGTTGTAAGTGTTTCAATTCTTTATCTACCAACTGACTACATGCATGCATGCATATATATATATATATATATATATATATATAATATTAGTGGAATATATAAATACCCATACATGTATATTTTTAGAAAAATTTTTTTTTTTTTTTTTTTTTTTTTTCCAAAGTGGAAGAATCCAGGTAGAACTCAATGTCTAGGACAGAGTAAGGATATAATAAAAAAAATAAACACTAATGTTCCATGGTCATAATTTATTCCATTGGAATCGTAAATACGATCAATTCATCAGACCTACAAATTCAAAAAGCTGAATTTTTGAATTTGTAGGTCTGATGAATTGGATCGTATTTACGATTCCAATGGAATGAATTATGACCATGGAATATTAGTGTTTAAGCCTTTTTATTATATATATATATATATATAGAGAGAGAGAGAGGAAGGAAAACTATTCTTTGCCAATGTGTTTCGTCCTTGGACTTTATCAAGACAATATTTAACTTTGTAAAGTTCATCAGAAGATGGAATGAGCTGGTAAAGAATAGTTTTCATTTGTCTTTTTACAGATATGTTTTTATTTACATATATATATATAGTAAGATAATGAACAATAGGGAACGTTTATCAATCTAACATTTCACTTTTATTAAAGATTTAATAAGTTAGGCATGTGAGATCAATAAATGTTTCCTATTTGTTCTTTATTCTATTCTGTCTGATTACAATCCGTATTTGGTGCCATCTGATACATGCATGCATATATATATATATATATATATATATATATTTGCTTGAGAATTACTTTTATATTTTGGACACAAAACAGAAGCTAATAACCAAATTGATTTTTCTGTTCAACTTTTAATAAGTTTGAATTATTTGGGTCATCAATTCTTACTAAGTCCTTCACTTAATCTCCCCAGACCCACTAAGCCTTGATATGTCTCCATATTTCACTTCAGCCCTCGACCTGATGCCTACATGCCCATATATTCGTGTCAGTCTCAGTGCTACTAACCTTAATGCACTTTATAAAAATAATTTATTTTATCTTTTGACAGATTTGAAAAGTACCGGATAAATGGTGGTTTTCGCTATGCCGCTGTTGGTTATATGACAGTTTACAATTATTATGCTTACCCAGAAAAAATCCGTCCTCGAATAAGGTGGGTTCATTTCTTGATCCTTTAATTTGCTAAAAAAGTTCCATCTTGTGTTGTATCATTAAATTATATTGCCACAATCTAAGTGATTGCATTTTGTTAGTTGGGAATTTTTTTTCTCTCGAAAAAGAAAAAAAATGTTCACTTTTTAAAGCATCCAAACTTAAAACTCTTGTCAGATTTAACCAATTCCTATTGTTTTGCCTTTTCTGTATAAATTTTTTTTGTGTGTGTGTGAGATCTAATTTTTGACTTTGAGTAAAAACATGTTCATTTTTCAAATTTTACTTAAAATACTAAAACATTTGCAACTTCTATAAATATCCTTTTAAAATGAATTTTTGTTTATAGAAATATTGTATAACACACAAACCTATGTGATTATCCACTATATACTAAAAATAACTTCCTAATTAATATTTGAATAGAGAGAGAGACCTGTTTAGTTTTTATTTGTTGCATTAATAATACACCACAAAATATTTTGTCTGTTGAATGAATGAAAAACGAAAAAATTTTGGAAATTATTTTATTCTTAGGAAGAGTAGAAAATCACAATATTTACAGATTTTGGGGGCGAAAATGAAAACCTTTTTATCTGTATAGATGTGTAAATAAGTGTGCAACTGAATTGTGATCTGAAATTTTCATTGTAAGGTACTTGATCTATATGATAAATATTCATTACTGGCTAAGGAGAACCTGTTGAAAAGTAAAATGCTTTTTTGATCGCTATGCTACTGACTTATACGCTGGACTATCCTGTCGTATTCAACGTGAGTCAAGCAGCTAAGTTCTAGGAACCAACAGCCCAGATCCCAGCAGATATGATTTGATTATAGTAATGAAGGCTTTGTGCAGAACCAACCACATTTTTTGAAGGGTCAATTACAGAGACCTGGTGCACTATGTGCCCCAAGGTCCCCAAATGACTCTCCACAGGGTTTGAATTCAGAGTTATCCTTCTAGGCCAGTTGCCATCCAAGATTATAGAACCCAGTCTGTCTTTCTATTTACCCATAGCTGGGGGGGAGAAGAGAGTTAATACCTTTCCCAAGGGTATTAGCACTTAAGTTAGGTACCTCCACGAAATCGCTAAAAAAAGAGCCTAGCTTGATGAAAAAGATGCCAACCTTGCCAAAAACAAAATTTTATCGTCTAAATGCTTATGTTATTATTAAGAGGAAAGACCAAAGTTTTTTTTAATTATTTTTTAAAATTTTTCCTTCTTTTTAGAACATTCTAAATTTTGATTTTTAAAAAAAAAAAAAAAAAAAAAACCTTGTTTCTCTTTGTATCAGTGGAACTAGTAAATAACATAGACAATTTTTAGCACGTTTTTTTGGTATGACACACATGAATTTGGAAAATCTTGCAAAAATATAAATAATTGTCGGATGTTAATGAAACTTTCAGGAACTATTCACAGATGATTGAAATTATTATAAATATGTTTTTTTACTAAAGTCATGGCAGAAATATTTTTTTAAATATTTATTCCCCAATAACTAATTTTATGAAAACGCTAGAAATTCGATCACATTGGGTTTAGTGATTACAATAGTTAAAAGCAAAAGGCTTTGAGGAATGCAAATCATGTTTTTTATTTAATTGGACCCCCCCCCCCCCCCTGAAAATCAGCTCTGAATTGTAACATACAAAACTCAATAAAACAAAGATATTATTTAATTTCAAATGCTTTTATTTGCTTTTAGTTGTTTTTATGAACATGGACAATATTTTCTGAAAGCAAAAAATTTTTTCGATGAAAAATGAATTTTTAATACAATTATTTGTTATTTCTTAATTATAATAGATTTTTACATTTAAGTTGTTAAAATATTATAAAATTAGTTAAAAGCTGCATCGGGTTTCCTAAGTCTCCTTATGAGATAGATCTTTTTTTAGCGTGTTGTAAATTGTATCATTTTCACTAATCAGAAGATCCACAGTAATTAAAAAATGTGATTTTGTGTTTATAATTGGGCTGTAATTATAAAGTACGGAAGACCAACCAGAATATAATTAAGTTGCGTTATTTGAGTTAAGCATTGTTCTCCACTGTTAAGGCCTTTACTTTTGCGAAACACATGTAGATAAGTTAATTTGAAATTTATATGATCTTATTTTTATATTAACCTCAGTTATGACATTTTTCCATAGATGAAATATCAAAATTAATAATAAAATGAATGGAATACAAATAACACAGTAAAATGTAATAAATGTACATAAAATTATAGTATTTTATGTACACTTCTGATAAAATTTTATAAGAAAGGTACCTATAAATTAATTAGATACCTTTCTTATGAAATATGAAATTTAATGTCACTCTTAAGTCTTATTTTAATTTCTTTAGAATATATTTTCCATAAAGCATCGTAAACGTAAAGGTGAAAGCTAAGTACAAAAAAAAAAAAAAAAATTAGAGCACTAAAAGTTTTCCTTAAAAATAACGAGGTAAATAATTTGTTTACTTAATGTAAATTATTTCACTTTTCTCCTTCCGTAGAACAAATTAGCCTCATGGAATCCGTCAATATGTCATTCATCACCTGTCAAGTGATGCAAAAGTTTATGATCTGCTTTGTTTTATTTTCAAATTACATCTTTTCAGCACAAAAGCTAAGTTAAGCTTGGTTCAAAATATTTTAAATAAACATTATAATTTCTGATTTTCTTAAAATAAGTTTTTAAAAAATGATAATTGATATTGAAAATAATTTCAAAGTGATATTTCCAGTTTTTTTTTATAAAATGGAAAAAAATGTTCTCAAAAAAAAAAAAAGCAAGATTTTTAACAAAAATTTCGGACGTGCTAGGAACGATTAAAAAATGGAAAAAAATACCCCAAAAATACTTTGATCTTTCCTCTTAAAAATAACATAAACATTTAGATGATTAAATTTTTTTTTCATCAAGTTTGGCATCTTTTTCATCATGCTGTACTCTCTCTCCTTTTTTTTTTTTTTTTTTTTTTTTTTTATCGATCTCGTGGAGGTACCTAACTTAAGTGAATGTAATAGATTTGACTGGAATTCAAGCTCTGCTCTCTGATTCCTCAATCCAAGCCGCTATCTACTACTCCACTGTGCCTCCTCATATATAAGTGTGTGTATAAAGTGAACATAAAAGTCAACACTTAGAGGCAACAATCTGTTTCATGCTAGGCGCAGGAGGCCTGATGATAACGTCATGCATGAAACGGGCTGTTACCTCTAAGTGTTGACTTCTATGTTCACTTTTATATTTACACACGCTCTATCTCTGATACTGAGCACTTTAACCCATAAATATAGTACATCTTAAGACTACATTGAGGTGCTGAAAAGCTCTTTGTATTTAAGAGATTTTAATTTTTTGTAATTATAATTTATTGTATTTAAAATACAATAAATTATTTATCTTGCCATACTATGATAAAATTCTGTTATTGAGTGCATTGTAAAAGGGAAAAAAAATTCAAAATACTACAAAAAGATATCTGCTCTTGCTACAGTCTTCAAACGGCATTTTATACATCAACTCTGTTCATGACTTGCCTGAAAAATCACTATAAAAGGTGTTTGGGTTCCCAACCTCTGAAGTGGATTGCTATTTTACTCAATACAGTTAATTTGATATCTGTGTGAGTTATTTTATACCCAGAACCTTTTAGATTCCCGTCTTTATCTTAATTGCTATAATTACATTCCTTTTGATGTCTATCCTATTCCAACACTACAAGATGTTACAAAACCAAAACATTGACCTAAGAGTCTTATTCTTAAATAGCATTGTCAGATTGAGACTTTCATATGGATGTCATGCATAGTGCTCAACCTGTTCAGAAATATTTAAACTGTCAGCTGTAAACAACCACTTTCTCAAATCAAAGATTAAAAATAGTTTCGAGTGAATGAAGTCTTTAGGTCTAGCAAAGACCCTTCTTCTTTGAACTGGCATTACAGAATCACAAAGAACTTTTACCAAATAACAAAAACTGCACCATTCAAAGACTTTCAACAAAAGCAACAACTAAAATGCATAGCACATGTAACTTGAGAAAATAATGACATAATCACTACTTAGAACAAAGGTTAAGAAGGAAGCTGTCATCAACACTGGAAAGAACAATAACAATGAAGTTGAGAAACTTATTTTCTTTTATTGTTTTAAGAGAAAAAATTTTATAAATCTCGAGCAAAAGTAGCATTGGCTGCTCGGTCAATGAATGCCAAATGTATCCTTATAAGGATGTAGCTAATATTATCATTGCACCATTCTTCTAGCTTTCTTTTAATACCTAGTCTAAGAATTCTTGAATGAATTCTATTTCTGAATGAAAAGTTCTTTTTGACAATTCTCTCTTATTTAATCATTAATAGTTAAGATTTCAATTCAAAATTCTCTTCATTTTGCCCATCATGGGTATGACAATAAACTACATCCACATCCAGGATAAGACGATAAACTACGTCCAACAGCAAGGCCTCTGATCAGGAAGCTTTGAGGTGCATTGAACTGCCTCTTAATTGCTGGTGTTCCCAGGTTCGCCCTGATCCAGGGTGGTAGCACCTGTTAGGGTCCCAATTATGGGCAAATAGTTAACCCCGAAACTGAGGTAAAAAGCATTATGAAAGTGTAAAAATAGGTTTTAATACCAGAAATACTTTGTAAAAAAAAAAAAAAAAAAAAAAAAAATTTATTACCAGAAATAAATTTTTGAAGAAAAAAAATATATTACCAGCAATACGTTTTTGAAAAGAAAAATATTACCAGCAATACATTTTTTTAAAATAATATTAACAGCTATACGTTTTTGAGGAAAAAAAATATTACCAGAAATAGATTTTTGACAAAACAAAAAATATTACGAGGAAAAAAAGTTGTCGGCATTGAGGTTGATATGCCATAAAAGACAACAAACCAAACCTTCAATTTGCCCTGCCTTGACTGGCCATCACTTAGTATGTGCAAATGATTATCTGTAATTCCAAACTCACTTGAAATGGTTGGCTTGCCATAAAAACTCATTCCACAAGATGCAGTTATGTTTATTAAGGACAAAAGAGAATGTTTGAGCATCAGTCGTGCCAGATTTAACTGCTTCTCTCTGCTTTGAGCACATATTGCTTGCCAAATATCAAGTTGATTTGAGGAATGGATATTGTCTGATTAGCTGCATTTTCTTCTGAAAATCAAGCTTTCAACTTTTACTAGATTATGAGATAGGACAGGGTATTGTGGGGCTTACACCCTCATTCCTGTATGAGCATCAAAGTTAATCAGTGTTGCACCTGATCAGTACCTAAATGGGTGACCATTGGAAATAACAGGTGCTATAAGCTTGGATGTGCAGGGGGTGTAATGGATAATGGCTCAGAATTGTTAATCGAAGAGCAGAGTTCCAATTACTATTGGGTTCATTATATTCACTTACATGTAAATACCCTTGGGAAAGGTATAAATCCACCTCTTCTCCCCTCCAGCTATGGATTAATTAGTAAGACTTGTATGACTAAAACCGTTATTATCTCAAAAAAATAAATAAATAGAAATAAAGATTACATACAAAATATTTAGATTTTCGCATTAAATAACTCATAGAGGTTGATATGTCACTAAACAAAAAACAACCATAAAATAAGATATTATAGCAAGCCATGAATGGACATGGTCCATAAAAAAAAGCTCCTGAGCGAATCCCATTGCAAATAATGGTGAAAAAAGAATCTTGTATAATTTCTCCTTCAAGTTGTTTCTACTTAGAATTGAAATTTGTACAAATTCTTTCCCTCTTTCCCTTTTTTTTTTTTTTTTTTTTTTTTTACGTGGATATTCAGATGAATCTATAGAATGAACTTACAATTCCCTATTACAGTTGGATGTGCTGCCTATTAATCTGTATAATTTTTGTCAGATATGTGAAACTTGTAACTCTTTAAACAATGTTTTATTTTCATAAATTGATGCATTATTTACATTTGGGCTGTTGTCCTATCTTGGTTGTTGTTATCACATTTCAGCTATTGTGTCCATCAGCCTTCATCAGGTGTTGATCCATGTAACCAGGGAATTTTGGACTGAACTCTTTCTTTAATCTGAGACTAGATTGCTTTTGTTCCGTTGGTCATGTCCCAGGGTGTGCAATAACTGAGCCGTACTAATAAAAACTTGATAAGATATCTCTAGACATGTCAGTGGAATGAGAACACTTTTTCCACAGTAAAATAGGTTCAGCTTGAAATTCCTTAAAGGTTACCTGGATCAACAAATATTTGATGAAGGCCAGAGAATGCAACAGCCAACCCATTGTGATAATAACAAAGATGAGGACAATAGTCTTCATACAAATAATAACTCCTTATTGCAAAAATTCAGATGGAAATAAATTGATGCAGTTATGATTAAATCTACTTGAACATACACCTCTGCTGAAACTAATGTATTTCTCTCTCTCGCCAAACCCAGAGATTGACTAACATACATTCTTAAGAATAAAGAAATGGTAATAAGTGTAAAAGATGTTTAATGGCAGAAAAAGAAAAAAAAGAGAGTGAGAGAACTGAAAGTTTCAAAAATTATAACTGGAAACAACTAAATTTTGTAGCCATGTCTTGACAAAACTTTATTTATAAAACATACAGTGGAATTGTTTGATTAGCAAATATTATTTCCAGAAAAAAGTTTGTCACATTATTTTGTGAAAATGTCTGAAAAGCTGACCAAAAAAAAATATCTATTCACATTTGTTTAACATCATATCTATGTCATTCTTCATGTTTAGTTTGGATTAATACCTTTCAACCAAAAAGCATTTCAAGTCATGTAGCCTCTGACTTTCTTCTAGTATCTCTTATGTTCTTGGAATGTTGCTAGGTCTGGCTCTGAGGAAGCATGCGCATCACCCGTCATGCACATTACATCTGTTGGTCGAGTCTATGTTCTTATAGTTGTCTCCTCTTGACCGTTGAGCTCATAACCATTTATTAAACTTGGTGCACACTGACCTGCTAGGACCTACTGGTTCTTTCTTAATGTTGTTAATGTCTATTCTTAGCTTGTTGATTGAGTTATATGAGCATAGCTTGTTAATAGGTACTATCAACCTTATTTACCAATGCTTCTCACTATTATTTTGACTTCATTCTATAAAGTGCCCCTTTCTCAAGCTATGGCATTGTCAATTATGCTATATTTTCAAGTGTCTCTACATGCCACAGCTTTTCAGTGTTCCTTTAGTCTTATTTTTAAGAAGCACCTACTCTGCCACAGCTGCATAGAATGTTGAACATGCTGTTCTTAGTCAAGTTTTCTTCCAGTGGGAGTTTTACTTAATTTACAGCCTCCTCAAAATCCATAAAGAAGGCATTCCTCTAACACTTGTTAATTTCTGATGGTCAACCTGTTGCCATTCATTAAGCAAAGGTCAGTAAGAGTCAGCCCAAAGTATACACAGATGCAAGCACCAGACATCAGTATGTGAAGGATGTGCCTGTTTCCCCAAAACAAGTTGGCATCCCATTTAAAAGAAATTAAAACAAAAAATCTCAATGCCATCTGATACAACTACATTTCTGACTTCAGTAGGTCCCTTTTCTCTATATTGGTCTGCTTATTGCTTGTAAAATCCTATTTGCCTTAAAATTTTTGATTTAGGTATTTTCATATTTTTGTTTTTACTTGTACATATTTTTCATGTTGGTTTCATTCAACTGACAAATGTAACATTTTATTTTGTGTGTGTGTTTTTTCTTTTTCCTGAATTTCTATAATGTTCCTCTTTGACTTTAGCTTCAGTTTATAAAACCATTTTCAATCATGAAAAATGAAATTTTTTTTAGGAAATGAGATTAAATATTTTCTTGTACAAAACAAAATTCATTTTAGTAAAATTTTGCAAATTTACACTTTTCACAAAAAGTGATAGAATTATTAAAAAAAAATGATTTTTATGATTTATTTATTTCTATTTTTGGAGACAAATAGATTTTTGTTAATAACAGGAGTTGTCTTGAGAGTAAACTGTAAAAAAGAAGTCAAGTTTTATTCAACATCTATTTTTCATACAAATTAATTTCTAATATTTGGAGTTTGTATAGTTAATACCTCAGCAATCAAGATATGTTCTCAAATGCAATACTAAACAGAACAGTGTTCTATGGGGGGGCATTATATGGCATAAATAGAGGTGAAAGGTCAAGTCATATGGATATAAATAATAGACATTACCAAATGGCTGATGAATAAAAAATTTGTGATCATGTGGATGGACAACAATTTTACAAAAGATTTGTATCTTTTTTGGGTGTAACTCATCTGGTTGCTACTTTCATAAACTAGTGAAATATCACATGTCAGTATTTGTCACTATACAAAAAATTGTTTATTTTTATACACATGGCCCATTAACCTGAGTTCATCATACAGATATTTTTACAGACAATATTTGATACAATCTTTTATCAATAGGCATTTTTGAAATGCTAAATTTATTTACATGTGGGCTATTGTCCTCTTCTTTGTTGTTATCACAGCATTTCGGCAGTTATGTCTCCAGCCTTCATCAGGTGTATCTCAATCTGGGTACATACACTTGATGAAGGCTGCTGGAGTGGATAACGGTCAAATTGTGTGAACAACAACAAAGATGAGGACAATAGTCCACGTGTAAATAATAGCTTCTCGTTTTAGAAATTCAGACAAAATGCTAAATTTATTACCAAAATATTTTTTTTTATTTTTTGAAGCTATAGCAAATCAGCATGATATTGCTAAATGTTATAGAAATGTTTCTTTTTTTTTTCTTTTCTTTTTTTTTTTCTTTTTTACTTGCTGTGTTCATTCTTTAGTTAAAAGAGATTGCCTAGGTTTGGAGCCTTGCTATGCTGGCGTCCACTGAACTTTGTGAAATTTAATGCTGACCATTTAAAAAAAAAAAACAAAGAAAACAGTGTATTTGTAACAACTGCAGTTCCAAAACTTGGGTTGATATTCACTTGTAATTTAACTCCATTGTTTTTGTTTTTAATTTCTCTGCCACCAAAATTCTCTGCAAATGAATTTCTATTCTGACCTCCATCAACTTAAGCATAGAGATTCTTTATTTCAGCACAGAAAGAAAGGGGAAAATAGGCTAATTAATAACAAATGTATTTGGTTTGTGTGTAATATTCATTTGTTCATGAATTGTTATGATATTTTATTTTTATTTTTTTCTTCTCTTTCTCTGTTACCAGTCAAGTGCTTATTCTGCCTCCATTCCAAAAGCAAGGTCATGGTGCTCAATTGCTACAAACTTTTTACAATGAAACCTATACTCGGCCTGAAGTACTTGATATTACAGGTAATAACACCTCTGTTCATATTTCTTTCTTTCAGTCAGTATACTTTTCATTCTCTCTCACATACACAGTTTGTAGAAATGAATAGTGCAAACATACGGCTACCCCTTCATAACTAAGTATGGCCACACGTGTGTGTGTGTGTGTGTGTATATATATATATATATATATATATGGTGTTCCACCTAAATTTGACCTTTTTCTTTTTTTTTCTCTCTTTTTAAATCAAAAACAAAGTGAATATCCAAACCAAAAAATCAATTTATTGGAAAAATAAAAAAAAAAAGTGGAATGCATGTTATAATAATCAAAAGACAATTCACTCAAAGAAACCACTCTCAGTATCTGCCACACCCTTGCTCTGGCTCCAAAATCTGTCACAAGCAACTTTTACAGTACCCATGGTGAAAGCCTCAAATGCTATTGATCAACTTGGCCTTGGTATTACAGGCAGTGCGGTTGGCGTCTTTTTCAACCATGCCCTCCATATAATAATCTATGAGAATTAGGGAAGTTAGGGAATCAGACGTGGCTGGTGAAGTTGTTAAAATTATCTGACAACCACTTTTGATTCTTCTTGGAGGTGTGGCAGGGAGCTGAGTCATGCTGCCACACATATAGTCTTCCAGCAGCCACCCTCTCAAACCAATCCTTGACCACAGTATTCAGCAACTCTCCATAGCCATTCAAATTGAGCCTGAGACCATCACAGTTTGTTGAAACTTGGTTCTATGACACAAGGACCCAGATTGTCCTTGGTTCTACAGGATTTCACCTTGTTCAGGAGTTTCTTTGCCTTTGTCAGATGGTTTTCTTGATACTGTTTTGAAAGAAGTTAATCTTTACACTTCTTGTATGACCGGTAGTGGAAGTCCTCATTCAAGGCCAGGTTCATGGTGGAAATTGCAAATTCCCTGCCATCATTTTCTCATGCAGTTGTTGGATGAATTCTGGTGTATGGAGGCAATCAGAACGTCTGCTGTGTTCTTTTCTTGCTCAATACTTTGAGGATATTTTAGTAAAAGTCAAATGTCATAAAAGAAAATCTTTATTTGAAAAAAAAAAAAAATATTGGTATGTGTAATCTTGACTCTTCTTGATGCAGATACTTAATAAATCTGCCGTTAGCATTGATGACTGCTTCAATACAAGGTCAGAAATGTTGATCTTTGTCTATTTTGGACATTTTGCTGGTTATTACAGACTTCATTGTTATGGAGGCATTGTATATAGTGCCCCAATGAATTCAGGTCTGGTGAGCAACGATGCCATATGTTTGGGATGATATGATCATGGAGATGGTAACACATCCATTCTTGATCTTAAGAGACCACAGTTTTGTTAGTAGGTATACAGGCCTCCTTTACCCACACTTTCTATCCAAGGCTTCACAACCCTCTCTAGCAACCTTCTTATAAACAGTAGCATTGACCCTTAAGCCCTGCTGAAAGAAATGAGGAGGATTGATGTTTATCTTGTTGCTCATGACTCCCAGAAACATCACTGTTGGTGGAAACTTTGCAAGCATGTCCATTGGAACGTCCTTACGGTCTCTGTATAGCTCTCCGTCATTACTTTGGTTGACCTTTTGGTCTTAATCAAAGTTTTTTTTATCATCATAGAAAAGCTGCGCATTTCAGACTCTTGATGTTTCAACTTACTCAACAAGTGCTTTGTGTGGATCTTTTGTCTTTGCAGACATGAATTGACCTCTCCTCATCACATATGACTTGCATTGAAGGTCCTCATGCACAATTCTTCCCGTAGAGTGCCTTGAAACTTTGAGTTCCTTAATTGACTATCTGTGATTCTTATTGATAATTTTCTGCACATTTCATATACATTTTGATGTTCTGATGGTATTAGGATCCTGAGCAGTTATTTTACATTTGGCTACTGCTGTAAAAATCCCTTTCAGCAGCTTCTAGTTCTGCAATTCTTAACAAATAACTGCAACTTTCAGGAATTGATCTGTTTCTAAACTACAAATCTCTGCATTTAAAGAAACTATTACAGCATGCCTTTTCATTTCATTAGTTTAGCTTTTGATGTTTATCATCATTTATCTGAATGGAAATGACAATGAGAACAAGTTAGAAAAAAAAATGTTAAGTCTATTAAAAGATGTGTCCTCAAAGAATTGAGCAATCCTGTATATGGGTTTATTCAACTTCAAAGTAACTAACAGCCACAGAAAAATTGGGGAAAATTTACAGGTGTACCTTGATCAAAATTATCAATAAATCCCAAGTATTAAATTTGCATCTATTAATAGTTCAAAATTAGAGCCTTTTGAAGCTTTACTGCATTTTGTTAAATAAAGCTTTCAGTGAAATCCTAACATTCATAGTTCCAATAATATTGCATGTACAAATTTGAAACTTTGTGACAATAGTTAATATTTACTACAGATTACAAAAATATGATATAAAAATATAAACAGCTTAGGTGTGTCCTATATTTTATTTTTATAAGGATTCAATATTGCAAAATGACACTATCAACTGATAGCTTTTCATTTACAGCATATGTCAGATACAGCATCGAAATGAGTTTTCCTGTCATTTATGACCTAATAAACTGTTTCTGTGCAGTAACCATATTCATCCCTCTTATAAGAATGTCAGTATTCAGTCAGTCCGTCAAGTTCCAGACATGATACGCACTTGGGCAATCATGTCCCTTTTTGGTTCATGGCTGACTAGGCAGAAGATTTTCCCACAGTAAGTTGCCATTTCTTTCTGCGGTATACTGGTTACCACCCAGGGCTATAGGGCCCACTCTGTCCTGCTATTCATATATGGGAGAAGAGATAAATTCGTTCATACCTTTCCCTGAGGGTATTTTCTCGAAAGTGAATGAAATGAACCTGACTGGAATTTGAATTTGTCTTTTCAACTTCTCATTCCGAGCTCATTATCCATTACACCACAGTGCACAATTTATTTATTTTTTTCATCATCCTTAAAATTACCTATTTTTATGACATCAGTTGGCCAGTTTAAGAAAATTTTCTGTATTTTTACTCTATATTCTTACATATCTGAAGTTCATGTGACAAGTTTTGTTTTGTGGAAAAACTTCTGTCTGAAGCTAATACATGTTTTTCTAGAACAACTTGTCAAACCGAAATCATGGTTATGTCAATTTTGGCACCTTATAAATTAGATACTTATGAAAATATTAAACTGAAAGTTAGTACCTCTATAGTAGGTGCCTTCACAAAAATCACAATACCTACGGTTTAAATTAATTTTTAAAAATGAAAAGGCTTTCTTGAAACTTTCATTTTAGCTTTAATTGAAAGCTAAAGGATTAAATTTACTATTTCCAGTAAGCAAAATACTCTGGTGTATTTGAAATAGAAATCATATTGATCGGAATCTAGTTTCTTTTCATTTTCCCCCCCTCTTTTAGACATTTCTAAGCACAAGTTACTTCTCAGTTTTAAAATACTTTACAAAAATAAAATGTACTTTCTGAAACTTTATTTGAGGATTAGCTGACTTAAAGTATAATTAATCTGATTTAAAACAAATATTATTTACTTTAAGTTTAAGATATCACAGAAATGCATTTTTTATGTCGACAGTAGCTGTGTTTTTAACCTGATAGTAGCTGATTTGACATGTTGACAGCCTAATGACAGGCCTAATGTTGTTCCAAGATTTTCAGTAAAACATAATCTAAGAAAATGACATGAATGCCTTTTTTTATGTAATTTTTAAGTACTCAGTAATCTTAAAAATAGCGTAAAATATTCTCCATAATTTAATGTTTTATTAAATTTTAGGAATGTTGACTTTAAATTTACTATAGTTATCACTCTTATTTCCAGATAATGTTGTGTATGGTCACTGATACTTACAAAAATAGGCACATTTATACACAAAAAAATTCAAAATTCTTTTAAAAATATTGGTGTTTGATTATTTCTATTAAGCTTTTTCATTTATGTCTACTAAATATAGTTTTTACTTAATAATATCATCTAAAGAGTTGAAATTAATACAGAATTTTAAGATTTAAAACTTAATTTTTCCTAATAAAAGTTTAAAAAAATGTATCATTCATGGAAAAAGTTTTTTCTTAAGACAATAGTGCCCTTTAATATATCTTATAAAAGCAATTAAATGTCATATTTTTATTGCAGATTTTCAATAAATGGTGCTTGTGTTTGACAAAAACAAATTGATTTAAATTCTCCAATGAGTTCTACTTTTAACTAATATAAATATGAAGGGGCTGAAATTTTAATTTTTCTCAAAATTTCATAAAATTAAGTATGTGTGAGTAACAAAAACACACACATATATATATATATATATATATATATATATATATATATATATATATATTCCAAAGTTTTCTAATAAAAGAAAGAAATTTCAATAATCATTTCATTAGAATCTAACGATTATTTGATTTTTGTAAGAATTTCCAAAACAATGTGTTTTTAATGCCAAAAAAGACCCTAAAAATCTCTATAGTAACCTTTGGCCCACTGCTAACTCAAGTAAAACAAGATTTTTTTAACCAAAATTTCAAACGTGCTAGAAGGGATTCAAAAAAAATTTAATAAAATATTCAAAAAAATACTTTGGTCTTTCCTCTTAATAACATAAACATTTTGACAATAAAACATTGTTTTTATCAAGTTTGGGGCCTTTTTTCATCATAGTATGCTCTCTTTTTTAGAAAATATTTGGAGGTACATACTCTATAGTAATTTTTATGCAAATTATGTTTGGCTTAATTTTACCTTTGTTCTGTATAGTTTAGATGATATGGGCTCTTAAAAAAAATTTCTTTTTTTCTTTTTATTGTCTACAAAATTTCTTAATTGAACAAAGAAACTACACCAAGGACATTGAAATAAGGATTTCACTAGATTATTTTAATTTTAACCTTTAGCACTCTGCATTATTAATATTACCTCCCTTCTCATTGCAATCTTTTCGAAGGTCTCTCAATCGTAAGTTATGTGCCATGCGTGATACACACAATCATGTATCTTTCAATACATGACTGACGAGGCAGATCAGTATCATGATTGTTAATTTCACTCAAAGTTGTTTTCTGTTGCTATAGCAGAATATGACAACACAACTATGAAATTCAAACTCGCTGTTGTTCAGTGATCAGTCACCTTCAGTGGCAGGATAAACTTTTTGTACAGCAAATGAAGTGACGTACAAAGTGATAAAGGTTAAATACATCAATCAAAATAGTGACAATGTTTCACAATTTATTCATGTCAAGCAATTTCATTGCTATCTGGAAACATTACACATAACGGGATTATCAAGGCAAAAATCGCATTAATGCTATTTTTAAAAGAAATAAAGTCAAATATTTATGTTTGGTGATAGTAGCCGGTACTTTAAATCCTAAGTCTGCATTTTAATGATCAACTTTTAATATTACAATATATTCAAAATTGGTAATACCTTGATTCTAGAATTTATCATTTTTTTAAAAGTTGAAAATTTCATTTGATGTATCATTTTGTGTTAAAAAAAAAAAAGTGTGCATAAAAGGCATTAAAAGCTTTGCTGCTGCTAATGACAAGAAAATCTCAAAAAAAAAAGTCCAGAGACTGTACAGGCCAAGGAGCAAAAGTACTTACCTTATGTGCAAAAAAATATACCATTCTTTGATGTAGCTTAATTGTCTGATAACTTGCATTGGGTTACAAAAATAGCAAAGAAAAGGAGGAAAAAACATTTCCTTTTATAAACCACTTCAGGGACCACGTGGTAACAAGTCACGAGACCCTGTAACTATAAAGAAAAATTAGTAAGAGTTAACAGCTTTTAATCAACACAGTTAACTTTAAGAATATTTTAAAATGTTCTTAAAATTAAAATATTTTGTAAACTTGATATTTTTATTTATGTTTATAAATACATGTTGCAAAATAAAATCCTTACATTTATCTTGATAAAGCCCCCTCAGGGTACAAAATGCAGAAAGGAAAACATAACTGCCAGTTTTATGCCTTAAGTGATCATCAGACAATGTGCTACTGCTCTTTGTGTAGGATCATGAGATGTCAGAGAAGAGATACCAGTTTTTGTATAGTTTTTTTGTTGTTGTTGTTTTTTGTTTTTAGACAACTAGCGATCTATTTTGCATGCATGCTTCCTCCAAATATCCACCTACCACAATCAAACAAATCTCACAGCCCACCAGTTGCATGCAGTCAAATCGCACTGAAAATACCAGTTCCTATTCAATCACCAAAGTTAAGCAGTGTTGAGCCCGTTCAGGTCTTTGGTGGTGGGAGAGACTGCTAAGAAACACTGTCTACTGTAAGCAACCTCCTGCAATCTGAAATGTTTTATCTTTAAATAATCTGCAACAGGTTGATAAGCTGCAAAAAGAAAATCAAACAAACACCAGCTGTGACTGATGCCACAACAAATTTCCAGCCAATGTCAATCGCTATCTACTGTCCTTCTGATTACTAGTCTTGTGTTCTTGCTCCTTAGTAATGTTTCTGTTTTCAAATTCTTTCACACCCAGTAATCCCTTGTGTCTTTACTACTTTGCTTGGGGTGAATTCAATTTATAAAAAAAAAAAAAAAAAGAATGACTATGCAAACTGCACTAAAAAAAACAAAAAAATCCTACCATTTCACAGCAAAATTAGCAAAGATTAATTGGAAGAAACTATATCAGACCTTGTTTTTTTTTGGGGGGGGGGTTACTGTTCTGTTGGTTCCTGAAAGTAGATTTGTGTGGAAACCTGTAGCATCTTATGATTAAAGTGGAGGACATGTTTTCATGTTTCTAGACCACTGTTTGGTTTTCGTTAAATTTATTTTGATAAAGAATTTGAATCTAGCTTTTCTTCCATTTTTGACAGTTGAGGATCCCTCTGAAAACTTTCAGCGCTTGCGAGATTTCGTTGACACCAGGAATTGCATGGCACTTCCCTCTTTTCACCCAGACCATCTTCTGAATGGATTCTCTGAAGAAATGGCAACAGAAGCTCGCAACAAACTGAAATTAAGCAAGGTGAGTAACATCCCCAGTGTACCCAAAATGAAAAATATGCAACAGGATATTTTCCAGGAGAATCGGGCAAAGCCTAGGCTTTCCAATGTATGGTTGTACAATTCTATATTTGCAACATCTGATATTCACTCTGTCTGACTGTCCTCAACCAAACACTTTTGACCATTTCTATCCTCTGTAGTTCAACCCAGTTCCTCCTTTATAGATTTCAATGTTATCTATACGTTGATCAATGAAGAGGTTCTTTCTGGTTTATCTCCTTATTTCAATTTCCCTTCCACACCCCCGACACCTACAATGTGGATCCCAAAGTATAAGCTCACCCTGTCGGTTGGGGCTGTAGAATACACTGACTGCACCTCTGCAGGAGATAAAAGTCCCCCAAAGAGGCCACCTGTTGGCCATGGGTGGCAACCCATGATGTCTGAGGATGGGATCTTGGTGGCTTGAGCAGCTGGTGAGTATGGAACTAAAAGGTCATTAGCTGCAACACTCCACTTTGGCCCTTGGACTAGATGAGCAGTCGGAGTGGCCTGATCCAATCTATTGGCTGGTCATATCAAGCCCCCATCATATATAATCCACACCAAATCTATAACTAACAGTTCACACTCTCCCTAGCTCTTCACCAATATTACTAATACTCACTCCCAAATATATGATGGAAAGCAGTGGCTGAGGGTCAATCAATTTGGAAGATAAGTAATCAATATGGCTGCAAAATCCCAAACAATCCATAGTACTTGTATATCGAAAATTGGTACACAGGTGCTTGAAAACCCCTTCCAAAACAAGTATACAATTTACATAGCCCCATCATGACTAGGCAAATGAGTTTCCAGCCTTGCCATTTCCCAATATTGGACTCCAAGGTGGGTAGGGAGTGTAGATAATGAATCAGTCTTAAAACTATCCATGGCTCAATTAAAAAAAAAATTATCCAAGAGACCCCATGTAAACTCAGATTCAGACTCAGAGACTGAATATGATAATAACTTTCCACAATTTATTGTCACCATTTCCTGATACAAAAAGTCCTCTCTAAAAATATCACACCAAAAAATATAAAAAAAACTCTGAGACAGAACATTGCTGGTAGAGATCGATAGGAAAAAATATGCAAACCCTTTATTATATTACGATTTAAAAAAAAAAAAAAAATTTCCAAGCTATTAATATCAAAATTTACCCCCAGAAAACCTTGAATTTCTCAGAAGGGAGTAATAAGAAATAGTGAACTCTCCCTGTGCACCATGGAGGAAAATAAAATCAAAGTTTAAAAAAAAAAAAAAATATGGTATCGCTGGTGCTAGAAGGATTATAACAAAGAAAAACTGGGGTGGGGGATAAATATAAACATTTACATTCAATACTCCCCAAAAACCAGAAACCATAAAGAGTGGATATGAAGTAACAGTTGAACAATATATTCCGGACCCCATCCAATGTTTCAGGTGCCAGAAGTTTGGACACCTTAAGAACAATGGCAGGAATAAACTAATATGTGGAAAATATGGTACAAGGGAACCAAACCATATAAAGGAAGACTGTCTAGATGAGACCAGGTGCTCAAATTGCTCTGGAAACCATCATGCCCACTCATAGAACTGCAGCATTTTTAAATGAGAAAAAGAAATAATTAAAATTAAATATCAAAAAACATCCCCTTTCCAGAAGCTCAGAAAGAGGTGATGACCTACACTAAAAATAATACTTATGCCAATATCGCCCAAAGAATAAATAAAACTACCAATGAAAACAAGCTGAATCCCTTAATTGAAGCACCAATCTGGATCAATGACTTGAAGAGACTACTAGATGAATTAAAATCTCTCTTAATTGTTCTCAAAACAGTCTTCAATAACCAAAATGAAAACAAATTACAGCAACCTCAGCCAACTGGAAAAAAGCCAGAAGAAAAAAACTCCAAGGAAAACCCAGCATCAAACCCTAGAGTTGAACCAAAACCAACCACAATCAATGTAAATTCAATACAAAATTCGCTAATAACAACTTCTCAACTACGAAACACTCAAAATGTTTCAAATGGAAGATTACCCAAACAGAAAACTGACAGAACAAAAATCAATCAAACCTTTATACAAAACAAAATCAAACTAAAAAAAAAAAACAGAAGAAATAGAATTAAAATCAAATAAGCAGCACAACAACCATCATAAAGATAATCAGAAAAAAAAAAGAAAATGAAAAGAACCAAAATGATCAAGAACATACAAATAGTCGGTGAAGAACAAGTTCACAAACAAGGGAAACAAACAGTATGGAATATATGGAAATTGGCAACCAAAAACATAGTTATCCTTAAGAACCACTCTCTAAAATAGAAATAATTACCACTCAAATAAAACAAACAGAATACAAGCATAATAAAATGGAACTGTAGAGGTGTTAAAACCAGACTATGAGGAAATTAAACAACTCTTTACAGATTACAATCTAAACCTAGTTTGCTTACAGCGGACCTTTCTGATGACATCTCCTTTAAAGCATATGAAATTTGCCACAAAATTAATGTATCAACACTAGAGAACAGGTTAAGTGGGGTACTTCAGTATTGGTTAAAAAAATCAATACCCCATGAAAAACTACAATTAAATCCAAATCATGGCAGTAAAAGCTTCAATTTATCAAACAATAACTATATTCTCAATTTATATTTCTCCAGAACAGAATAAGAGTGAAATAGAAAAAGGCTAATTGGACAACTTCCCACTCCATTTCTTCTAATGGGAGATTTTAATGCACCCAGCAAAATGTGGGGCTGTAGGAACCCCAATCAAACTGATAGATTTATAGAATCCCTACTAGAATCATCTGATTTATGTATCTTTAATAACCAAATGCACACAAACCTACACCTAGGTACCGGACCAACATCAGCCATTGACCTAACCATATGCTCCCTATCAATTTTTATAGATTTTCAATGAAAAGTTCATGATGACCAATGTGGTAATGACCATTCGCCTATTTTCCTAAATATAAGGAAGCCCTATGCCAGAAGAAAGGAATCCAAAATGACATCTACACAAACCTAACTGGCTAAAATTCAATGAACTCTGCTCACCCCAAATCAACATGGAAATTCTTAATGAACCAGAACCAATAGTCTCTTTTACAAGCATACTAACACAAATAGCAAGACAAAAAAATACCCAAATCTTCCTTTAAACCATATACAAAATCAAAACCCTGGTTCACAGCAGGAAAAAATTGCTAAAGATATTCTTACACAACCCAACCACAATCAACCTACAAAACTACAAGCAAACACAAACAAAAGCACTCTATATAATTAAAAAAAATCCAAAAGAGAAACTTGGAAAAATTACATTTCCAAATTACCCCCCCCCCCAATAAAACCTAGGAAATAATAAGGAAAATTGGTGCTACTATAGTGTGAGGTCTACTTTCTGTTTCGCATGTTTAGAAAATGTGAGACAGCTATAAATATCCATGTTAGACCTGATGGCCATGACATATTGAGGTAGACCTCATGCTATAGTAGCATCAGAAAGTTAATGGAAAGACATCACAAACTGCAACAGTCCATTTAACCAAAACAAATAAAGACAAATGTAGTGGAAAAAAGAACTAGCTAACTTAATAGTAACAGAATTTCAAAGAAATTACTCAACAAATCACTACACCCCCAAATTTAAAAAATATAAAAATATTATGGAATAAGAAAAACTTGTCTTCACCCCAAACAATAAAGAATACAATATTCTCTTTACTATGACAGGACTAAAAGACTCCATAAGCAAAAGTAAAAACTCTGCAACTGGCTCTGTTGAAATCCATTATCACTTTTTAAAACACCTGCCAGAAGAGTCTCTTTTAATACTACTCAAAATCCTTAATGATGTATAGTGTTCAGACAAACTTCCAGTAATATGGCTTGAGTCTATCATCACTCCAATTCTTAAACCTGGCAAAGACCATTCTAGATGCAACAAATTACCAACCCATCAGACTAACAAGTTGTATTTGGAAAACAATGGTACTTGGAGAGAAACAATATCTTACCTAGTTACCAAAGTGGATTTCAGAAAAACCAAGGAACCAATGATCAGCTAGAATCTTTTATTTGTGATGGCCTGGTTCAAGATCACGATGTGGTGTCAATATTCTTTGATATTGAAAAGGCTTATGACACCACATCGAAGTATGGTATATTAAAAGACATGCACCAGATGGGAATAAAAGGAAGAATAGCTATATTCATCCAAAACTTCCTGTCAAACTGAACATTTTGAGTATGAAATGGTAATACAATATCAGACACATATGAACAGGAGGCAGGAGTACCTCAAGGTAGCATTTTGTCAGTCACACTATTTATTCTAAAAATAAATAATATTATTAAAACCATTAATACAGGAATTGAAAAATGCCTATATGTAGATGATTTCTCAATATCATACTGATCATCAAACATGGCTTCCCTTGAAAGATATCTACAAATATGTTTAAACAAGATAGAAAGATGGACAAATGAAAACAAAAAGTGTTTTCCCAAAACAAAAACTGTCTGCAAAACACAAGCCCATCACCTCGATACAGAATTAAAGTTGAATGGACACATGATTCCCATAGTCGAACAAATAAAACATCTAGGAATCATATAGATTAGATATGCAAACTGAACTTCATGGCACACATTGATTACCTTAAGCAAAAATGTTTTGAAGCTTCTAAAGTTAATATCAAAATTAGATTTGGGGTGCTGACAAAAAAGTAATGCTCAGAATATATAGGTCACATATCAGATCAAAACTAGATTTGGGGTGCTGACGAAAAAGTAATGCTCAGAATATATAGGTCACATATCAGATCAAAATTAGATTTGGGGTGCTGACGAAAAAGTAATGCTCAGAATATATAGGTCACATATCAGATCAAAACTAGAATTGGGGTGCTGACGAAAAAGTAATGCTCAGAATATATAGGTCACATATCAGATCAAAACTAGAATT